TTTATATATATATATATTTAATATCATCAAATTTAAATACTATTCTAGATAATATAAAGCTAGATTACAATATAGGATTTAGAAATAAATGATTAAATTAGATTATTATTCATTTTATTTTAACCATCTGAAATCCTTCAGAAATTTTATGAAATCTGATCGATATGTGAAAATTGGATTTTAATTTTTTGCAAATGAATTGTATAATGTCAAAAAAATTTAATTAAATAAAAAATTAATGATTAAGATGAATGTTCTTTTTTTTCAATCTTAATGTAGTTATAATTATTTCATGTTCTTAATATAATTGTTACAAGATGATTATCATTTCAAATACTTAAACCTCAATAATGGTAATGCAAATATTTAATTTTATTATTATTATATTTTTTTAATAATTTATTTCTTTGTATTGTTTTTTAGGAATCAATATATCATAGATAATATAAAAGATCAGCCAGAACATTCATCCAATGTGAAATTCATAGTTATATTTTTATTATATTTAAAAATTTCAATATATTATAGGGATAATGATTTTTATTTATGATTTCAATAGATATAAAAAAAATATTTCAGTCGACCCACCCAAAATTGATACAAAATTTATTTATCATCTAAACATTATATTCCATAAAATAATTCTCAGGCAGAGATTAACATTTTGAATCTTTTGTTATTTATATACATCCAAAATAGGAATGTATAAATTAGAAATAAAATAAAATGTAGGTTGAATCTTAAGTTGTCTACAAATTTATACTCCTGGAATACCCTTCTGTAGGAAAAACTGCTTTTAATATTAATTCATTTAATGAACAATATCAGCCAACAATTGGAGTAGATTTCCATTCAATAAAATTTGATTCGAACAGTAAAGCCTTAAATTTGTAGGAAAATATTTAATCTAAAATGTGATTTGATATACAACAGGAGAGTAAAGATTTATAAGCTTAACCTCAATTAGTATTAAAGGAGTTGTCATTATTGGTGATGTTACGAATAGGTAATCCTTTAATGATTTATCTAAATGGCAAGAAAGTATCCCGCTCTGTATTATTATTATAGAAGTTAAAAATAATACCAATTCATATGTGCCTAAATTGTTGATTGGGATTAAATCTGATTTGCTGGTAAAGAGAAGTAATTTTTAAAGAAGGATAGCAATTGGCCAATACTTCAGGTATGTTGTTTATAGGTACATTATTAAAAATCACATAAAAATCTGCAAAGGAAGGAATTAACATTGATCAAGCTATGAAGAATTTTTTAAATGAAGCCTTAGCTTAAAATGAAAAATATAAAAAAGAAGACCATTCTAAAAACCAATGAAAGAATATTAGCAAAATTCACAATTAAAATGATTATTTCTAAGGAACAATAGCCATTAAATCAAAATTATAAGTTACAAATAAATTCATATTCATCTATAATTTCAGCATATATTGGTTTGAAATTAATATTTCTTATAACAATATTAATGTAATTGTATTGAATAAATGTTTCTTATTAAATAATCTCATTGTATTAGGTATTTTACTTCTACGAAAAATCTTACACAAAATATTTTATTCTAAACTTTATTAACATAAATTAGAGAAATTAGAGTTTTCTTTAAGATTAATAACACCTCTTAATTAAAAAAATTTATGGTAAATAAATTTCAATTCTAAATAGAATAAATTATTGCTTTCTATTTGATTATATATTAGTGATAGATCAAATGCAGATATTGTGCTGAAAATAGTGTAATAACGCATGCCAATCTTTATCAACTTCAATTACTTCTGAAGCTAAAATTACGATCAGGATTTAGTTTTATTGATGCAATATGCTCTAAATTAAAAGCTGGTAGCATAACATAAGGCTTTTGGATGTTAAATAAAGACATGTTTAATAGAAAAAACATTATTTACTTATGCAGATTGTAATGTTTGGTTGAGTACTTGTACAGTCAATTTGGCTTCATCACTAAATTTACACACAAATATGATAGCTTAAATGTAACTGCACGTTTTTTGAAAGTTGAATGTGAATTTATTGTCTAAGTAACATAATGTGTTATTGTTTAGTTGCAAAAATTGGAGGTTCTTCCAGATTAGTTAAATTACCAAATTCGCAATCCTACATAAAAGATTAATACAAAAATCTTTTCGTTCATCCTCATTTGAAAACAGGGAAAACTTTTATGAGACCTAATTTTATAATAAAAGAGGCTCATTAGTAGATATAATTCTCCCACTTCTATTTTTCTAATCAACACTTATTCTAATATATTTATCTCCAAAATAATAAAATGAAACATGAGATGACAGATTTCACATTTGGTATCCTTATTAGCTATTTTCAATATTATAAATTAGCCTAAACAAACATCCTCCCCATGATAATATACAGATTTTTTCTCTTATGGCTTGTTGCACATACGAGTCATTGAAACTCTTCTAATTTATCTCTTTAAGAAGGATGCTTTGATTCATATTCCTCTAAACTAAAAAAATCTATTATATCATTAAAATTGTTAACATCATCAATAACATAATTGATTTAATGTTTTTTTAATTCTATATTGAATAATTCTTGAAAAGGAATCTTTCCAAATAAAAATCTTGTAAAATTACCTTAATTCGCAATAGTTTTTAATTGATTGTTTTTAAACATTTAACATTCAGTAGTTATAGTCTAGCACATCTGATAAAACATGATTTTACTTTTGATTATAAATCCTCTTAAGGCCCGCTTATTGTTATTGTATCAAATTTTTAACAAGTTGAAGCTTTCAAAAAACATAAAGTAGAATCCTTTTAAATTTCTGCTTTTTCTTAAAGAACTTTTGGAAATTACTTTTTCAAATTGATCTTCTATTTATTTCTTTCTTTCAATAATGCATTGTTTTAATATAGATAAACTTATGTATTTAGCATTTGTACACAATTTAACACTTTAAAGAGCTTTCTTTTTTACATTAGTTAAAATAGTTATATTCTTCTTAAGACATTCAACCAAAGCAATTTTATTAGTACCCTTTTCAACCAAAATTAAGTTTGGTTCATGATTGTTATAAATTTAATTAATAGAATCAACTAAATTTTTTTTTGTTTTAGATATAATCTTCTAATTAGCCCTCCATGTCAAATTCTCCAATAATAATAATGAGGGCCTGTTTATTAATTTCATATTACATTTACTTTAGAGCAACATTTTTACGAAAAATGACCCCATGAAAAAAGCTGCTTAATTGTTCATCATGATGATTAATAATTTTTATTTTCATTAAATGATTTATATCTATAAGTTTTGAATTCACATTAAATTTCTTAAACACACTGAGTCATCAAGGCTTTGATTTTTGACTTTCAAAATTCAATAACTTTTTCATAAGTTTTATTTGGTTTAAGAACAATATATAGCATGTTTTTTCTAATTAATAACCACTCTTTTCTTATAAATTGGTAATTAATCTTTTCAAAAAATTCAGATTTATCTTCCCTCTATTAATTTATTTCTAAGAGCGTGTCATCCTCTTCCTAAATTTATTCAACTTCATTTTGTTTTGCAATAATGCTTTTTGATGATGTAAATGTAAATGTAAATGTGGTTACACTTTCAAAGTATTTTGAAGTATTTCTCAAATGGGAATTTCCTTCTTTTTATAGGGTCATCTTCAAAGTAGAGTCCTCATTATCTATAAAGAATTATTTGTCAGCTATCAATTAACTAATTTTATCATAACAACGCCTGCAAAATCGAATTTTTTTCTCACCTTCTTTAGAAGGCCATCAACAAGGTGGTTTGAACAACATCATGATTAAGTCTATTTAGTCTTAACAAAAAATATATCCACAACTTCTGCAATGGTGCTCACGCCTAAATACGGCATTAAATTTATTTTCGCACATTCCACATTAACTAATTTTTTTCAACTTCCTTCCATTTTTTTTGATATTAATTCATTCTGATGGAAATACGTTAGCTTCTGGTAGTGGTGATAAGTCTATCCGTCTATGGGATGTATATAATTAAGATTCATATATAATACGGTTAGAGAAGATATCATTATTTCCTTAAATCTTAATAATTACAAAATTATAATATTTTTTAATATGTGTTCAAAGTTTTTTTAATATCTTATCAATTAACAGGTGATTGATACATTATCTTGAATTGAGAGTAATGTTAAAATTTATCAATATCATATTGTTTTAACTTTGTTATATAGTTTAGATTATATTCTAAGATTAACTTTATTTTTTTAATTATTGTCATATCTTTTTTATTATTATTTTTGTTATTAAATATATCTTTTAGTATTTATAAACTAATTTTACATTATTATTAATTATATCTATTAAGACTAATGTTTATAAAAAGTAAAAAATTAAATAAATTATCAGAATATCTTATGAAATAATCATGCAGTTTTTTGTTAAGTTAGTTTTCAATTAAGCAATTTTAATTGATCTTTATTTTCATCTCTTCATTTAGCTTACTGTTCTCTGTTTGTATTATTAATTTAATGTAGTATCATTTAACATTAAATCTCTAGAAATGTTCAGTTTTTTTTAAGGAGGTCTCAATAAATATACCCTAACCTACATTTCCTTAAAATGGAATACTTTAGAAAAGCATGGAATTATCTATCTTAAAAAATGAAGATAATGAAGAAAACAAAAACAAGATTAAATCAAAAAAAATTAGGAATGAGTATTTTAATAATAATTGTAATTGTTGTTAATGAAAAATAATTATCACTTTTACTTAAGGTCTTCCAAAAAGCAACTTCCTTTTTGTTTAAACAATGTCTTTAAATCTATACCTGATTGATTGATAAACTCTCCTCTCAAAATTAAAGCTCCTTTGGCTTGAAATATTGCTTCTTAGGATATAAGTAGTGTAGTGATGTAATTGGAGGCTAAAAATATGATAGGGCATAAATACTACCTTCCGAAATATGGCTATGTTATTGGAGTGGAATCTTAAATTATGCAAGAATATCTTTGTAGTTTTTATCAGAGGATTTAATTTCTTCTCCTGTTTTGACATCCCTTAGACGGATAGACTAATCACTACTTCCAGAAGCTAATGTATTTCCATCAGGAGAGAAACAGACTGATATTACAGCTTCATCATGACCATCTAATTAAGCTTTTTATTATCCTGTTTTGACATCCCATAGACGGATAGAGTTATCTTCACTACCAGAAGCTAATGTATTTCCATCAGGAGAGAAACAGACTGACATAACATAATGTTCATGACCATCTAATTTGGCTTTTTATTATCCTGTTTTGACATCCCATAGACGGATAGAGTTATC